AGAATCAGATTTCTTATGTTAGGAGGGGAAAACACTAGACAGCAAAAGTTAAAACAGATCTTAAGAAGACAATAGAGTGAATAGTGTGTATAGAGAGGTAAAAGAGAGAAGCAGGTGGAAACAAGAACATTTGTGTCTGGATGAAAGTGATCCAGTTTTCTAAAACCATTAAATTCTGGCTATGTCCCCCATTGTTATCCTGTCTTTTGTCTTCAGAGTGGAAATTACTGGATTCTGTTTCAGAAGATTGTTTCATCTAGAAAACATGATTCTAATTTGGTCCCATAACTCACTTAAGGAACTTCTGCTTCAAAGTAAACACAGAGCAATGGAGTTTGCCCTAAAGATTTCGTACATTCACCCTAGTTTCACAAGAGAATATCCAGAAATTCCACAACTAAATTTAAAAAATAATCTGAAGAAAAGACAAGTATAAACAGCTCATAACATTGCTTTTGTGATGTTTATCAGTATGAATTGAAGTTTTCATTTCCATATTCTGAATTTGGACTTCTGAGAAACAGAGAGGTTTCAAAAAGTTTTACACAGTTCTGACACCTATACCATCTCCTAGTTGTGAAAATTAAAATAATGATACATTTGATACCATATGTATGTAAAAACCTGACCATAAATAACAGGAGTAATTACATACAATTTATTAGAGAGGAGGTTGAATAGACAACTAATCACAGTTCAAATAGCAATTATAAAAGTAGACAGGATACTGTTCTCTTTTCTGAACAGGCTAGTTGTATCTAGAAGCTGTGTTTATTAAAAATTATTTTCCTATAATTACATTATTTTATTTTGTCTATAATTATATAATTTCCTATAAGTTCTACCTTTACAGGATGAATGAATTCACTACTTCCCTCTCCCAGATAAGGTGGCTGCAACATGCATTTTAATTTACACTATGTTAAAACTGTCAAGTTGAAACTTTTTCTATCTGTGCATATTCAAGGTCCTCTGAGAGCATTTGAATGGTGATAACTCCAATTATAGCTAATTAGATACCTGAAAGAAAATGGAGATTTAAATAAGAAAACCTGATAAAATGGGAAAAAATTGCCAAACTGAACTCAAAGTTTGATATATGGTGTCTTTCATGCAACTTCCAATTATACATGTAATTATTAAACCCAGCAACACTTTCCTTTTAAATAACTAATCAATGAAAATTATAGTTAGAAATGTCTGCCAGTCTTAATAAGAAAACATGAATTTAGCCATACAGTGCTAACATATTTTTCCATCTCAGCTGCCAACATAATGCCCATAAAAATATGGAATTTCCTTCTTTTGTTAAGTATCAGCCTGAAGTTGTAAGAAATGATTTAATTGATTGTAAATACCAATCTGGGCTTCCCAGGTGGCTCTGCTGATAAAGAACCTGCCTGCCAATGCAGGAGATGCAGAAGACGCAGGTTCGGTGTCCTGGTTCAGAAAGATTCCCTGGAGGAGGGGATGGCAACCCACTCCAGTATTCTTGCCTGGAGAATCCCATGGACAGAGGAGGCTGGAGGGCTATGGTCCATAGGATTGCAAAAAGTCGATAGGACTGAAGTGATTTAGTATGCCCACACGCAAATACCAATCTGGATGAATTTTTGGATGTTTTTCATGCTTCTGTTTCACAATTCAGTTCAGTTCAGTTCAGTTGCTCAGTCGTGTCCGACCCCATGAACTGCAGCACCCCAGGCCTCCCTGTCCATCAACAAGTCCCAGAGTCCACCCAGACCCATGTCCATTGTGTTGGTGATGCCATCCAACCATTTCATCCTCTGTTGTCCCCTTCTCCTTCCCTCAATCTTTCCCAGCATCAGGGTCTTTTCAAATGAGTCAGTTCTTCACATCAGGTGGCCAAAGTATTGGAGTTTCAGCTTCAACATCAGTCCCTCCAATGAACACCCAGGACTGATCTTTAGGATGGACTAGTTGGATCTCCTTGCAGTCCAAGGGACTCTCAAGAGTCTTCTCCAACACCACAGTTCAAAAGCATCGATTCTTCAGCAAGCAGCTTTCTTTATAGTCCAACTCTCACATCCATACATGACTACTGGAAAAACCATAGCCTTGACTAGACGGACCTTTGTTTCAAAATAAATATGTCCATAAAAAAATTCACTTACCAGACACCCAATTGCCTCTGCAAGAGAATCAAATAAATGAATTGGCTTCCAGACCATTCAAATCATGCAATATGTAGGGACAAAAGGCCAGAAATATAGTATTGCAATTACACCACAATGCAAAGATGGACTTCTGAATAAAGCTCTCAGATTTTTGTCTATACTCTACCACACATTAAATATGATGGGAGATCTACTTGGTCATTTTCAAGATTTATTGATATTTATAGACATTTATGATTTATAGACATTAGCACATGGAGAACTACTAAATCTTTGCTTCATGCTTCTACTTATTTGGAAACCTCTCAAGAGATATATTCCAAAGAAATTGTAATCACTAATTGTTAAATTGGAAATTTCATAAAGTCATATTATAAATAATAAGAAAAGCATGCAGCATAAAGATATAGCAGTGCTAACTGGAAAATTTATAGCTTGGATTTTAATTTTAATAAAAAAAATGAAATTTTTTTTTTCACTATTAGATTGGAAAAGTTAAAAAATAATATATTGTATCAATATTCTCTTACTTTGAAGGTATTGAATCAGTAAACTTCTACAACAATTCAATTTTTTTAATTTACCGTTTCTCCTCAACCTCTCTTGTCAGGAAAATATTAGAGTGGAATTTCTTTATACCTTACATGTAGTATCCTGTTAGAAATGACATCTCAATATCCAACATATTTATGTTTAAATTACATATGCTAAGAAATACCTCATCCTAAAAGAAACTTGTGTATTTATGAAAATAAATTAAAAAAAAAAAAAAAACTAAGTAGAACTTTTTCAGGTACTGTTTTAGAGTAAAGATATGCTAGGAGTAACTTACTGAAAAAATGACTCAAACTCAAAACCCTCTGTATTTTTTTCTTTAAGAGTGTGTAAGTTAATATGTTTTATCTTTATCCTTGTGAGTAAAATGAATTTCTTTGCTTTACTCCATCCAAGGGCAAGACAGAGGATTGTGGGCAATTGACTGAGATAACCCAGATTGGTGTCCATACTATACCACTTATTAAGAATGTTGAGACTTATTAAGAATTTTGAGTAATTTATGTAATTTCTATAAACCTCAATTACCTCCTAGGTTTGTTTAGGATTTAAAATATGGTACAAAGTTGTGTCCAATGCGTGGTAGCTTCTCAGAATTTAGAATGTGAAAGGGTATACATTTGTTTTTATGCTATTTATATCTTCTCAGCACTTTCTGTTCACTTGCTTTGTGACTGAGAGTGCATAATTGGATGTTCCTGCAATGTTTTTCTATACTTCCTCATATTCCTATAAGGTTTAATTTAAAAAATATTATGTTGCATATTTCCTTCCATGCTCATTCACGTCAGTCGTGTCTGATTCTTTATGACAGCCCACAAGGCTCCTCTGTCCATGGGATTTTCCAGGCAAGAATACTGGAGTGGGTTGCCATTTCCTTCCCAACCAGTGTCTCTTGCATCTCCTGAATTGGCAGGCAGATTTTTTAACAGTGAGTCACCTGGGAAGACTAAATATAAAGTCTTTTTCTTACCCTTTCTTTTACCCTTCCCTCTTTCTTTTTTTCATTTTTCTTCTTTTCTTTCTTTTTTCTTTTTATGTTTGTGTGTGTATTCCTATAGAGGTATTTTTGTAGGTATTTCTCTGTTCTCTTTAATTGAATTCTTTCTGGGTTAATTGCTGTTAAACACACATCTATTTTAGTAACAATAAGCATAACCCTAAAGACAAAAAAAGGCCCTTAGCAACAAATTAGTAGATTTGGCTATGAATGTTTAAAAATTGAAAGAAAAAATGAATCAGAAAATATATTCAACATGCATGATATATTCATAAGAAAATGATTAATCACAGCAGCAGAAAAAAGAGATTAAAATATATATCAAAACAATTTATGAAAATTGGAAAGTGTCTAATTTGGATGTACGGCTATATGCTGACACTCAATTGTATGAGCACTTACACAATTTGTGTAAAAAATGACAATGAATTGTGATTTTAAAAAAATCTTGTCCAATATTCAAGGGTACCATGTACACATTTTTATTGGAATAATCACATTGAGTCAATTTATCAATACTCCTCAATGTTTAAAATTATTTATACCATTTACTGAATCTTTTAACATTTAGAATCTTAGTCATCAAAAATATTTGGTTTGTTTCAGATAGGATATTGAGAGACTGTCTCTCTGAATTTCAAATCATAATCATTCTTTCTCAAAAGGCCAGTTGCTCTCAGTAGCTTTCAAAAAGTGGGAAGTCCTTTGGAAATATTCTGGGTTCTTCATAATGTACTATCAGTATCAGACACTATCATTCCACATGTATTATGTGTTTCTGACATAACATCTCACTTAAATTTTAAAATAAGTTGTATTTTTAATCTTTCCTACCATGCTACCATTTAGTCCATATTTACTCTATTTTTCTCTTTGCCTAGAATCTTCTTTTCTGTATCCATTCCTTTCTCCCCCTTCTGATTTTCTTTTTTTTTTTTTTTTTTTTTGTGCTGTGCCAAATGTGGGATCTTAGTTCCCCAGCTAGGGATTGAACCTGTGCCCTTGCAGTGGAAGCACAGTGTTAATGTTAATCTTGGGACTGTCAGGGAAGTCCCACCCCCAGGGGTTTTGCTTTCAGACCACCCTACATTCAGTCACTCATTTTGTCATTTTTTTTTTTTTTTTTTTGGCCATGCCAGGTGGCATGTTAGTTCCCTTACCAGGGATTGAACCTGTGCCCCCTGCAGTGGAAGCACAGAGTCTTAGCCACTGGACCACCAGGGAAGTCCCTCCCTGTCTTCATCCTTGCCCGACCCACCACCTTGAGCTAGCTAATCTCCACCAGCAGCTGTGGGGACCTGTTAATAATGCATGTAAGACCATTCCTTTGATGAAAACCCTGTTTGTTTGTTTTCTTTTTAAATTTCACTTCAAATCAAATCTAAACTTGTTTTAAGGCCCTACACGTTCTGGCCTCAGCCTTTTCTCTAAGCTTATCATCTCTCTCCCCACCTTTCTGTGATTTGACCATATCCCGTGGTCTGCTTTTCAAATACCCAAGCTTGGTTCCACCTCAGGGCCTTTGCACTTACTGTTCCTTTTGCCTGGAGTGCTCATCTCCCTGGTCCTGTTCATTATTGAGGTCTCAGCTGCAGTCTCACCTCTCAGAGAGACCAGCCCAGGTTCTCCTACCAGTGTTGCCCTCTCCCTTACCTCCTCCTAGTCACTATCCTTGACTTATTTTCTTCGGAGCATTTATCCTTAAGGGAAAATAAGGGTGAAACCTTACCTGTCTGGAGACCCTCTCTATTCCTGGCACCTGGCCCAATGCCTAATAAATTATCAAGAAGTATTTGTCAAGGGAATAATTTTGGATTTACTTGTCAGGCAGTGCTCCAGGCAGTGGGATACAGGAGTGGGCAGGACTCTTTGTTTCTATCCCAAGGAACTCACAATCTAGTGAGGGGGCCAGGAAGCAAATAGACAATGACCAGACAGTGAGACAAGGATGGAGTTCCAGGGCTAGGTGCCCTGTGGGGAGGGGAGGAGGACCTGAGCCAGCATACAGCAGGCCAGGGAGGCTTCCTGGAGGAAGTGTTGTTAAAGCCAGAAGTCAAGTAGGAGATAATCAGGCCAAGGAGTGAGCAAAGGTATTTGAGGCAGAGGGAATGGGGGTGGGGAGCTAGGGAGGGGAGGAAGGAGCATGGATCATCAAGACTTTCAGAGACTGTATTAAAGAGTCTCACCTTTATTGTGAGGGCAATCGGGAGCTATGGAAAATTCCAGGCAGGAGAGCGGCACGGTCAAATGCATGCTATGGAAGTGTCACTTTGGCTGTGGTGAAGAGAACAGTTGGAGGCAGAGAGTCTAGTTAAGAAGCTGTGTTAGTCACCCTGGTGAAAAGTAATGGGACTGGGTCTGGCCTAGGACAAAGAGAAGAAAGTGGGCAATGTGAGTTATAAAAATGGTGAATAAACCAGCCTTGGAGACTGGTTGGGGTGGGCAGAGAGAAAGAAGCTAGGCTAGATGAGGGGGTACACAGGGGAGTCAATAGATGAGATCTGAAATTGGCTGAGAAGTGGTACCTTGGGTGTGAGTTTAGAGGCAGAAAAGGTTTCTTTGACCCTCAAAACCCCTCTCCGATCTGCTGCAGAAATTCCCTCAAATGCATGACAGTGTTTGGGCCTCTCCTGCAGCCAAGTTGAAACACAGGAATCGCTGCTAACAATTAAGGAGCACTTGCCCTTGCCTGGGCCCTGCTCTGAATGCTTCACATGGGTTATCTTATTCACTCCTTCTCTCTGAGCTAGGCACAGTTATTACTCACATGTTACAGATGAGAAAACTGAGACTCAGAGAGGGTAAGGGGCTCCCCCGAGGTTACACAGCTGGTAGAGGCACCCACCAGGCTGGGAGTCAGGAAAGAGGTATGTCAACAGTTCAACAACTAGCCCTGTGACATTGGATGACACGCTTACATCTCTGGTTGGGTTTCCCATCTAAAGGGAAGAAGCAGGTCTATGATTTTTTTTTTTAATATTTATTTATTTATTTTGGCTGTCCTGGGCTGTCACTGCTGTTCAGGCTTTTCTTTAGTTGCAGCGAGCGGGGGCTCCTCTCCGTTGCAAAGTATGAGCTTCTCATTGCGGTGGCTCCCCTTGTGCAGATTTTTTTTTTAATATTTATTTATTTATTTTGGCTGTCCTGGGCTGTCACTGCTGTTCAGGCTTTTCTTTAGTTGCAGCGAGCGGGGGCTCCTCTCCGTTGCAAAGTATGAGCTTCTCATTGCGGTGGCTCCCCTTGTGCAGCACGCGCCCTGGGGCACAGGCTCAGTAGCCGTGGGGCATGGGCTCGGTTTCCCTGTGGCATATGGGATCTTCCCGGACCAGGGATTGAACCCATTTCTCCTGTACTGGCAGGCAGATTCTTAACCACAGGGAAGTTCCCCACTTTAATTTTCATTGAAGTAAGTTGAGGAGGGGATCCCTGCTTCCTCCCCTTCCCAGTTGATGGGTCTGCCAGGGCCCCGGGCTTCCTTCTGTAGCCTGGACCTCCTTGGAGACAGCTGCACCTCTGTCTCTGTGTGTGGGGGTGGGGTGGGTGGGAGAGTGTCAGAGGAGGGAGGGAGAGGAGGGTCAGACCCTGACAGCACCCTTGTACCCATCCATCAGGTGAAGGATGCGGGGGGCTCCATGACCATCCATGCATTTGGCGCCTACTTTGGGCTCACAGTGGCCTGGATCCTCTACCGCCCTAACCTAAACCAGAGCGAGGGGAGGAAGAGTTCTGTGTACCACTCGGACCTCTTTGCCATGATCGGTGAGAGCTTCCATAGCGACTGAGGGGGCCCCCGTGATGACCGAGGGCTGCCGTGCTACCCTGGTGGGGGGTGAGGGTCACCATGAGCATTTCAGGCTGCGGTGATCATACCTCATCCCCACATGGTCTGGTGCATGGCTGCCAGTTCCCTTCAGAGGTTGCCTATAGATATTTCAAGGATCCCAGTTACTTGTCCCTTTTCCCCATGGGACTGGAAGAAGTCGGCCACTCACACTGTTCAATGCAGAAGTCGGTCACTCATCCTCAAATGCCCCAGGGCAGACAGTGATAACCAGGAAGTGCGTCCATCCCTGATCTCAGCAAGGTGTACGTGCCTATTTCCTGTGTCCTTTCATTCCAGAGAGTACATATCAGCTATACCTTCTCTGGTCTCTTAAAACCCAGCCCTACCTTCAAGGAGCTCCAGACAGGGTAGTGGAACAAGTGGCTATGCTACTTGATTATCTCCCTACAGTGGAGAAAAAGATTCTCCCTCAAGGTGCCTGGGAAGCAGGGTGGGAGGCATCTCACCCAGTTATGGGGTCAGGGTAGACTTCCTGGAGCTGAGTGGAAGGCTATGACGGCATTAGGTAGTGAGTAAGGCAGGGAGGGCCTTCTAAGATGAGCCCCCAGCACGAATAAGGTTCCAGGGGAGGGAAATGGCTGGGGCGTGTGTCACTTGATATCTCTAGAGCTAAAGGACAGCATGTCTGTCCGAGCTCCGTCAAGCCCATCTAACGCCCCTTCTCCCGGTTCCACCGGCCCTGTCTGGTCTGGCCAGGTACCCTCTTCCTGTGGATGTACTGGCCCAGCTTCAACTCGGCTATATCCAACCACGGAGATGCTCAGCACCGGGCGGTCATCAACACCTACTGCTCCCTAGCAGCCTGCGTGCTCACCTCCGTGGCGCTCTCCAGCGCCCTGCATAGAAAGGGCAAGCTGGACATGGTGAGTAGGGTGGGGGCGGGCGAACCTTGGGGGAAGCTGTGGCCACAACTGCCTGTGCCCAGTGGGCGCTGATCACCGCGCCCTGCCAACAACTCATTGAAGCAGGCAGCATAAGCATTATCGCACCCATCTTGCAGATGAAGAAACTGAGGCCCCGAGAGAAATGATTTGTCCAGATGATGCAGCTGGCTTTAGGCAGAGCCCAGAACCAGATTCGTGGAGGTTCTATCATGCCGGCTGCCCTGGATGGACTGGCTCCTTCTCATTCTCCTCTCCCCACAACCTGGGTGCTGACATTAGTTCTGGACTGAGCAATGCCCCCCCACAAAAAAGCAGCTTCTGGCCCTCAGCCTTCCTAGCTCTGCCCCTACCTGCCGCCTCCACACGCTCAAAAGAGAACCCCTTCAAAGCACTTGGGACACGTGGGGCTGCAGTGTTCCCCAGCGTCCTTCATATCATGCCACTGGGCATGTGTTCCTGTCATTCCTGGGGGAGTGATGGGTGTTGGTAGATTTTTCTATAGAAAGAGGACCACCTCTCTCTCTGATATCCTTTTTATTTATTTTTGATTGCACTGGGTCTTCCTTGCAGTGCTCAGGCTTAGTTACTCAGAGGCATGTGGGATCTTAGTTCCCCAGCCAGGGATCAAACCTGTGTCCCCTGCGTTGGAAGGTGGATTCTTAACCACTGGACTATCTGCAAAGTCCCACCATTTAATACTCTGACACTAGCTTCTAGACCCAGGCACCTATGTGCCAAGATGCTGCTAGGAGTGTGTGTTATTCCGGGACACAGCCTTGAGCCCTGGGATGCACTGGACAGTCACTGTACAGAGAGATGGGGACACAGGTGGGGGGGGAGAGAATCAGACACACCACCTGTGGGCATGTGCAGCGAGGGACATGGAAGAGGGTGACGGTCAGGGGCTCTGGTTCCACACGGACCCGGATCAAGACACCTTTCTGCCCTTGGCTGGCCGTGTGGTCTTTGATAAGTCCATGAACCTCCCCCGTGCCTTAATTTCCTCACCTGCAAACATGAAAAGGTAACCATACTCGCCTCCTGGGCTTGTTGTGGAGATGAAACATACTCCTCGCAAGCCAGCACCACGGTCCATGGCGCAGGTAGGTCCTCAGACTGTCAGCCGGTGCTCCTGTCGGCTCGCAGATTCTGACGCCAGCACACGTGCGTACAGAGGACCTCAGACACGCGAACCTGGGCACACCTTTGTGTCTGGGCACCCGGATCCAAAGGGGACGTGCAGGTGGGCTGAAGGGCCTCATGGACACATGCACACTGCTCCGTGCAGAGAGAAGATGCCCCGAGAGCTGGTGAGAGTGGCAGGTGGACAGACAGCACGGGTGGCTGTCCCAAGCCTGGGCTCAGGCTGGAGTCCTCTGCAGTCTCCTGGCTGACTGAGATGCATGGGAGCCATCTCTGGCTCCCAGGTGAGCCCCCACACACAGGAGATCAACCTGGGCTCTAGGTCGGCTCCTCCAGGATGCTACTCTGGGAGAGGACTGAGTTCCCGCCTGCTCTGCCTGCCCTGCCCAGGTGCACATCCAGAACGCGTCGCTCGCCGGAGGAGTGGGCCTGGGCACCGTTGCCGAGCTGATGATCCTGCCTTTCGGCTCCCTCCTCATCGGCTTCATCTGCGGCATCGTCTCCACCCTGGGTTTTGTGTACCTGACGGTGAGAGCTCCAGGGCCAGGGACTTGGGGGTGGGAGGGGGGCGGCCGGTCTCTAGGGAGAGGGTGGGGGCTGGGTCTCTGCGTATTTGGGGCTTCCAGAATCCTGGACTCCCCACAGCCTGCCACAGCCCCCTGCCTGGGCAACACTCATCCCCCCGTTTCCAGCCATTCCTGGAGTCCCGGTTGCGCATCCAGGACACGTGTGGTGTTCACAACCTGCATGGCCTTCCTGGCATCATAGGCGGTATTGCGGGCGCGGTGACGGCAAGCATCGCCAGCATTGATCTGTACGGGGAGGAAGGGTAAGAATGGTGGTGGTGCAGGGAGGCTGAGCACCCTCCTTCCTTCTCAATTCCTCCTTCCTACTGTTCCTCTAGGGCCCAAGACTATCTCTGTCCCCTTTCTCGCCCACTCTGGACCACTATTTCATGGGCCTCTCTCCTCAACCTCTGTCCTTCCATAAGAATCTTAGAGACTGTCTGATCTTTCTAGTGCCCCCATTCTGCAGATGGGAAGCCTAAGTCCCAGAGGTTACTGAGCCTTCATGTCCACTCACACGTGTGGGGTGATGGCAGGTAGTCACTTGGCCTCTCCAGGGATCCTGACCTGCCCCCTGTCTCTACCACAGGCTTGCCGATACCTTTGGTGTTGAAAGAAGCAAGACAAGCTGGAGCCCAAACATGCAGGGCAGGTTCCAGGCTGCCGGGCTCTTTGTGTCACTGGCCATGGCCCTGGTGGGCGGCATCATTGTAGGTGAGTGAGGGTGACCATGCCAGGGAAGGTGGGGCCCTGTGGTTGGGGGACCCAAGAGTGTGTGCTAGAGGTCACCTGGAGCCCCCAGGAACCCTTTGTCTCTGCACTGATGTCTCTGGGGCCGGGAGGATTTTTCCAGTTGAGGGGAAGGTCTGGGTAGGCAGAGAAGTCATTCTTGACCTCTGGGACCTCCAACTTCCTTTAGGGGTCATTCTGAGATTACCATTCTGGGGACAACCGCCTGATGAGAACTGCTTTGATGATGCAGTCTACTGGGAGGTGAGTTCTACTGGCTTGTCCTGCGGCTTCTCTCCCAGGACCCCATCAGCTGGGCTGGGACCTGGGAAGCTGGAAGCTGAGGGTCGGGGGACAGAGCTTGTGTCCTCTGCTCCTTTATCCAGGAGGCTGTCCCCTGGGGGGTTAGAGGCTTCATTCTACAGTGTGCGTGCATGCTCAGTCATGTCCAACTCCTTGCAACCCTATGGGCTGTAGCCTGCCAAGCTCGTCTGTCCATGCGATTTCCCAGGCAAGAATACTGGGGTGGGTAGCCATTTCCTTCTCCAGGGAAATCTTCCCAACCCAGGGATCAAACCCACATCTCCTGCATCGGCAGGTGGGTTCTCTTACTGCTGAACCACCTTGGAAGCCCTCATTCTAGAGCAGTACTTCCCAAAGTATAGTGCTCCCTGGAGCAGAAGCAGCAGCAGCACCTGAGAACTTGTGAGAAATATAAATTCTCAAGTGCCACCCAGACCTCCTGATTTCAAAGCCCAAGGGGCAGGGCCCAGCCCTCTGTCTGCAAGCCCTCCACATGATTCTGATGAAAAACTCATCTGTGAACCAGCCACCTAAGACCAGTGGGCTTGGGCCCTTACATGCACACTGGAATCACCTGGGGGTCTTTAGAAACTTCCCAGGTCTCAGCCTCCAGAGACTTGAAGTTCACTGGTCTTGTGTGGGGCCTGGATATTAGCATTGTATTTAAAATTTGCCAGGTGAATCTAATATACAGCCTGAGTTAACAATCACCGTGCAGTCCTCAGTTCTATAGCCATAAGAACCACCTGTTGACCTGGTAAAAACTCAGTTTCCCAGACGTTAGCCCAGAAATTCAAGTTCAATAGGGCCTGGACTCTGCATGGGAACTAGCTCCCAGGTGATCTTGTACTGACACTCCCCTAAGCCTCTAGAGCAGCCTCTAGAACAGCACTGGTACAAAATCTAACTTGAGAAACATTGTTCTAGAAGCGGAAAGTCGTAGAATGTCACAGAACTCAGCTTCTTTAAAAATGTGCCACAGTTCGGGCTTTCTGTGACTTCAGGGTGGCCTTCCTCCCCACGGATCATCATGACAGGTATTTGCCTGTGTTAAGAGATGGGGAGTGATACACAGGGTCCTCCTTATCTCCCAGCCTTCCCCCTCATGACAAGGCCAGAGACCTAGCCTGAGTCTGTGGCCCCTGGGACAAGGGTCTGCCTAACATGTTCCTTCTTTTGGCTATTTGTTTTATGATTAAAGTGTGGTTCATTTTCAATATTAAATTAACTTCAGCTGTACAGCATAGTAATTCAACATTTTAATAGATACACTCTAATGTTACTATAAAATAATATCTATATTTCCCCGTGCTGTACAATATATCCTTGTAGCTTATTGATTTCATACATAGTTGCTTGCTTGTACCTCTTAATCCCCTACCCCATTTTGACCCTCTTGCCTTCCTTCTCCGTACTGGTAACCTCTAGTTGTTCTGTATATCAGTGAGTATGTTTCTTTTCTGTTATATTCATTCATATGAATATTAATATATTCATATATTCAAAAATATTTATTTTTTAGATTCCATATATAAGTGATAACATACAGTATTTTGTCTTTGGTTTATTTCACTAAGCACCTTCCATGTCCATCTATTTTGTTGTAAATGGCAGAATTTCATTCTTTTTTTATAGCTGAGTAATAGTCCACTGTATATCTATATACTCACCACATCTTCCTTTTCCATTTATCTGTTGTTGGGTGCTTAGGTTGCTTCCATATCTTGGCTCTTGTAAATAATGTTCCTGTGTACATCGGCATGCATATATCTTTTCAAATTAGTATTTCCATTTTCATCAGATATATATCCACTAGTGGAATTGATGGATCATATAACAGTTCTGATTTTAGTTTTTTTAAGGAAGCTCTATACTGTTTTCCATAGTGGCTGCATCAATTTACATTCCCACCAACAGTGTACATGGGTTCACTTTTCTCACATCCTCACCAACATTTGTTGTGTGCTTAATTGCTTAGTCAGGTCTGACTCTTTGCGACCCCATGGACTGTAGCCCACCAAGCTCCTCTGTCCATGGGGATTCTTCAGGCAACAGTACTGGAGTAGGTTGCCATGCCCTCCTCCAGAGGATCTTCCCAACCAAGGGCTAGAACCCAGATCTCACTGTAGATTTTTTGATGACAGCCATTCTGACAGGTGTGAGGTGATAACTTATTGTGGTTTTGATTTGCATCTTTAATGATTAGCTGGCTCTGTAGTTTTAAAATCATACCAGAAATTTTCAGGATAATCTTAACTAATATCCACTAAAAACCAATATTATGTACATAACTAATAAGCCTTTTAAATTTGCTCTTCTTTAAATTATTTTTAAAATTAAAAAAAATTATTTTTAAAATTAAAACATGAATATAAGCTCATTAAAGAAAAGCCGGAAATAGAGATAAATAGAAATTCCATCACTCATTCAAGCACTATTAATATTTTGGGTATATTTCCTTCCAGCCTCCCCCCTTTATAAATCTACATGAACTTTTCTTAAATAGCTAAGATGATATTATATTTGATTTCATATCCTGCTCTTTCTCTCTCTATCATAAGAACTGTTTTGTGTTATTACATTATGAATAAACTTTATTTTTTAGCAGCATAATTATTTTCATTCTATATTTGAAGTGGGAACTTAAATTATTTCAGACACCACAATTAGAAACAACACAGATTAAAGTTAATGAAATAAACTAAAAAAAAATGTATCTATTCTATACATAGAAGTTCACTCTTGGTTCTGTTTTTTTTCTTCTTCTTCCTTTTCTGTGGAATTCTAGTTTTCTCATTAGGGATTGAACCCGGGCAGCCACAGCAGTGGACGTGCCAAGTTCTAACCCCTGGACCCCTGGGGAATTCTCTCTTGGTTCTGTTTTGATCATTTACATTGTTGTTGTTTTAGTTGCTCAGGTGTGTCCGGCTCTTTTGTGACCCCGTGTAGCCTGCCAGGCTCCTCTGTCCATGGGACTTTGATCTTTATAACTTCTTCCAAGTTCACACCTTCTCTGTGCTGTATTATCAGCAGTGCTCAGTTTCAAGCCACACAATCCCATGCCGTTGGAAGTAAGCCACCATCAGGCCATTCTCA